TCTAGGTTTGAGATATGCCCATGCTACTTTGTTAGGTCCTGTGAACTAAAAATTCTTGGCTACATGATTAGGCCATTATTAAATATCGAGTTTTAAATTTTTTTATTTTATCAATTTTGTTCAAACATAAAGAGCATATAATATCATACCCCATTCTATCCACCATTAATGATAATTAAATATTACGCTAACTTTACGTGAACTTATTAAATGATTACATTCAAAATAAATCCCAACATGGAATGAGTTTTCTCTTTTTACCTTCTGAATTAACATCTTTGAACGTTGCAAAATATTCATAAAACGGGTTTTGGTCACAGCCAACAATCAAGACCAGAGAAACGGAGTCGAGGGAGCAAAAAGCAAATCAGTTTGACCAAAAAGAGAAGTTTCATCAAACCTAATTCATGCAACTCTATCGGTACGTAACTAACAATTGATGTTGAACTATTTAATACAATTTTTAATAACCGAAAGTATCTCTATAGCTGGGCCAGAAGACAAATAATGAAAGAATAAAAACGAAGTTGAAGCTCCTAATGCTATCCAATGCGGACTAATCATGCTTAAGGGTTCGAATTTGTTGTTCGTCCATTTGAAAACAACAAGAGGTAGGCAGAGGATAATCTTGAAAATGGAAGTATCTGCTTTTGTGGACATTTATGCTAGCGACACGTTCCTTTGTCTAAACAAAGCCAAGACAAGAAACAACAGTGTTGGGCTGATCAACTTCAACTGATTAGATTCTTATCAAACGCATGCCATGAGAAACCTAGTACTAGAGCCACATATTTCAGAATTCAAGAAAAGACATGACAAAGCAGCTCGTGTCTTTTGAACTTAATGAAATAATGATATTGAATTTTATACAGCATCTTGTATGAAAATCACACTGGTGTGTATCGAAGGAAATATGTAAGACAAACGATTGCTTCCATCATGATCAAATTCTTAAGATTTAAATTGTTTCATTTTTTTGTGTGTTTTTTTTTTTTTGAGGTTGAAAAACTTGAAAAGAACTTGGAAATGAATTAAATTGATTTAACATCAACTTTTAATCATCCACTGATTTTGAGCATATTAATTCCTTTGAGCATTACCTAAAAACTGCTAGTTTCATCAATAATATAGCATATATATTTATATTTCCAAGTAGTTGAGGCCCTTGTGGACAATTTCAATATTTTTTTGAATCCATATCATGTCATTTAATTATTATATCTATGTAAGAATTTGTCATCCTTCTCCATCAAATTAAATATCGCATTGATTAAAAGACCAATAAGGAAGGCAACCAAATGAATACCATACAATAAAGGAAAAAAAAAAGAAAAAGAAAAAGAAGAAGAAGCAAACAAGTCTTCAACTAAGCATTGAAAGGAGGGATGAGCTTAAGCAATGTCAAACTTAAACATGGTTTTCTAAGTATGAATTTGACTTAGTCAAAAAGAATTATCCGATGAAAATGAATTAAGATTTGAATATTGAGTTCTTGACAAGAAATTAAAGTCTATTTTTCTCCTATCATATGCCTACTTTGGAAATAGAAAGCTTAGGTATTAGTCTATTTATGCGTTACCCCACATAATAATATTCCACCCAAAAGTTCACATGCAACCAACAACCACACTATCATATTCACCTCACCAAGTGCATTGATCACGCCTCACAGCATGTCATAATTCCTGAATTCCTGAGCTGATTATGATCATTTATTGAACCATATACGGCAGCAAAGATGTTTCAATGAGCCTGGACTTGTCAGTATAAATTGAATAAACGTCAGCCCTACTCGCAGGATGACAAGCTCCAACATTGAATTATTATATGCAGTTCTTATCTTCCATGTATTCAAAATTATCAATCTAAACAATGAGTGACAAAGGACATACATGAAATACAGGATTTTACATCAACATAGAAAACAAAAACAGCAAAAATATAACCAAGATGCGTTAGGGACTGAATTAATGTACAAAAGGTTTCTTATTGTGTTATATTCAATGAATGAAACCTGTTAATTTGCAGAATATACACTTGCCCTAACATTCATATGCATAGGAGGAAAGCCAGAAATGACTTGTTTTCCAGGAAAATAATGGTTTGGTCGTTAAATAACTGGTGGAGCAGCGAACTTTTGTTTTTGCATTCATATGCATATGCATATCAAACGTCCTACGCTATCAAAACAATAATGAATGTTCAGATGCATTTGACAAGAAAAGATAACTAGGATGTTCCAGAGGGGCCCTGACCTTTCTTGATTAAGAAAGGATGCAGACAGCATTCTAATGTTTGTAGAAACCAATTCTTTCTCCCTCGAAGACGATCCCCAATAAATCCCATGTAAACCAGATCACATACTGTAGGTAACTACAGGAAATGCCCCACATAAATGGTAAACGTCAAAGCATAGGCAGAAATGGAAATCTCCTAAAATATTTCCTGCAAAGCCAGTGGAGTTGCGGCAAGGTTTGTATTCTGAATTACTGTTCATTAATGGGGAACCACTGAGCAAGTAAATGAAAGACATTATTTTGAAGAACAAGTCAGCAGAAACTAAAGCTGAATGGGTGGTGATTGCTATGGATATCAGTAAACAAAGGATAATGTAGAACAACTCCAGATTGGAAAAACTAACTGATTTAAATCCACAGATGCCATGAATGCCAAGTACAATACATATGAAAAATAAGCTAGAGACTATCAGTAAATTCTAAAGCTGTGACTGAGAATTCAGTGTCTACAAGCGAAAGGATCAGCAGCAAAGTAAGATTATGGATACCATATTGACATTCCGTTTCTTGGCACAAATGATGGTTTTATACGATCAACATCCTTTGACCATATTGACAGTCCATTATCCAAATCCTTGATGTCCTCTGCGGAATGGAAGCTTCTCATCTGCTTGACTAATTGGTAAAATTTGATGTCAATCCTCCACCTTGCTGCACTGACCTACACGTGCTGGATATAATTTCAAAGTAAGATTATGGATAGACATGGCAAAAAATTAATGCAAAATCTGTGAAGTATATGTGATATGCCTAACCCCTTGACCATAAATGAATGTGGCATTGTTCAATACTATCAAGCTGAAGCTAAGGGCTGAACAAAGTAATTTTACCTCAAAATATTGTTGCTAAGTATGTGAAATGTTGAATGAGAATACAGGGAGCTGAGAGAATAAAAATTGGGAAGAGAGACTTGGAAGTAGGCAAAGAGAAGATAAGCATGTTGGGCACATAGATTTCCCATACTCTTTTGCGCAACATAAACCGTTAAACAAACAAAAAGACCAAAGTTCACAGCAATACAGAAAGTACTGAACCACAAATTCAAGTTCCCAACAACCATCTCTTTCTCCAAATTCCAACCTAGTCAATCTTAAATAAATTTTCAATAAGCTATTCAGCTATGATTTGAAATCAAATAATACCTAAATTTCTGGCTCAAAAGTACATAAAGGCTCCAATTTGTCCCATATCAGAAGGGGCAATACTTACAGCCTAAAGATTTTGAAGGCATTTGTCCCACAACCAGAGCCTTACGTTTTATACAATTATTACCAGAAGTCCTATGTTTTTTCCAAAAAACTTCCACAATGCATAGCCTCACTGCCTCAGCAAATATCACATTTTCTGTTCGTTTTTTTTTTTTTTTTAATGAATTTTCTACATCTCTCCTTTACTCTTTTCCACAAAAAAATACCCTGGATTTAGATGGCTACCAAACATTAGAAAGACGGAGCACTGGATTGTTTGGACTATGGTTTATTTGGTTAGATTCCTTAGCACTCTAATAAGCATTTAGTGCACATGTGAAGCTTGGAGAATTGGTAAACCAGAAATACACATCATATGGAGAGCTATATCTTTATTCGCAAATCTGAGTTGGTAGGGGGTGAGTAAAATCCTAGCTAGAATCAAAGTCATCTACACATATAGAAAATGGTCTCTCCCACTGTCTCATAAACACACAGGCAAAATTTTACCATGGCATTGGAGCATAATAATACAAAACACAATGAACTGCAAAGAGTTGGCAGGGAACAAGTCATCAAGATCTTCCTGATTTAGAATGTTCCAGCCCAAAACTGACAAGCGACTCTCTAAAAAGGCAAAGGATATTAGGATTGATTGGTGAGAATAAACAAATAAATCATGCAACTGTATGCATGAAGCAGTGCAGAATATATTGGGAGAGAGTCTACATTATTCTGAACCACTAGAAAGAGCTCAGAAATATGTAAACAATTGGAATCTCGTTAAGCTTACATGAAGCAAAAAAAAAAAAAAAACAATATCAAGACAAGCCACTCCAAAGGGCTAAGTTTCAGAAAGTCTTTCAACACTATATGCTACTGAACAATTCAAAACTTTTCCTTCCCTTCTTCCAGGGTTTCTCTGGATTTTAAAGTTATCACGTTGTAAGTTTCCATACCAAGACTCAATCCAATTAAGTCTGTAGCATCTACCAATTTTGCCATATCTGGATCTTGTATCTTAAAATGGCAGCAAAATATTCAAACCTCTAGACAAGGCATAAAAGGAAGATAAAACATGTAATTCCTCACATACTAAACATAAACAACAGTGTAGCTAACAATTAGCATGGAAATATCAGCTTAAAAGCTAGAAAATTTAGCCTCTTATTAACAAAGATTTTCAGATGCAAAGAAAGTCATTTGTCAACTCCTAATTTTATTCACTTCGAACTTTGTACGGCTACTTGTCTTGGTCAGCTCAATAGGATTACGATAATACTGTAGTGTTGTTTCTATTCTGCCATGCACAGCATTGGGAGATCAGCGGTACATAAAACTACGATCAATGCAAATGTAGGGCTATAAAAATTAAGAAATCTAGCAAAAGCCTAATTCATATTAAACTCTTAATGTTGTTTCTATTGCAGAATCAAGCATGACATAATATTAAAAATAAATGTAGCATACGAATCATAAAAAGGAAAAAAAGGCCTTTGAATACATTACCTTATAATCATGTTCCTTTTAAAAATGGAACCATGTCTATATGGTACCTTCGGATGACTCCAACAGCTTTCATAGCAATAGTCTCATCCTCTGGGTAATATGAAATGGGATCACATAACAGAGGCTGTGGAAGGTCGAGCACACCTTCAAGTGTTGCATGAAGACAGTAAGCTGAGTATGTGATGTGGTATCCTCCTTCTTGGACGATAAGAAGGCGCCCACCACTGTGTTTATTTGCCAGATTACGAAGTATCCGTCCAATCTCTCTATAGCCATCCATTGTCAAGCATTGCCTTCCATTTGGATCAAACTAAAGCAAACAATGTGGCTCAGTAAGGAGGTCTAAGTTTTAAACACTAATTTTTTAGAAAAAGAAGGCAACGTCTGAGAAATGCTCATCAACGAAGCACAATTATAGCTACAGACAATGGCAATTGAGGAACTTCACAGCAAACATGAACAGTAGAAGTTACGATGAAAACCATAAAAAGAAGGGAAAGGAATCGATCCGGAACACACACACAAACAACTTAGGATGCATACATTTGAAAGAAGACACAAATATTTCATATTTTCTTTTTCAAAAAGCCAAATTACTGATAATTTGCAGTCTAGAAACCCATAACTGATGTTTTAGTTTAGAAAGCTCTCTTAAATATTAAATATTAGTACATGTAGTAAAATATATCCAAAAAAGAGTATAAGGTTCAACTAGTTTACAAGCTTGCTTTTTTCTCATGTATCCATAATTCACTCACGTTGTCTCCTGTGCTTCGCTACATTCAGCTTTTATTGGGAAAAAAAATTAAAAAAATAAAAAATAAAAAAGTAAAGGAGAGAAGAGAAGGGAAAAGATTAATTAATATCAATTTCAAGGTCTCTTCCATATAAGTTTTCATTTTTCCTATTTCTAAATCCTGTAGAGCTAGAAACATATTTCAATGTCATATGTCCTGCTCGTCTCAGTCCTTCGGTTTCCCTTTCAGTATTCCCCCTCTGTGTACTCCCACTAGTCATGCAAGTTATATGGAAATATATAAATAAACATAAAGTAACATATTTATTCATGCATAATTGATCATATTGTCAAACTAATATGGATATGGTTACATACATAACCTTACCTCATAACCTAGTCACAATTTGGCAAGATCTATCATCAAATTAAAGGTACTTACAGCACTTGAATCTTGGCCGACAACAAAAACTATCATATCAGGTTCAAATTTGTTAATTGCTGGGACAACTAACATGTTAATGGCACACCCATATCCCCTATCGCCTGTCCCATTAGGAAGAGGTATGTTCAAATTGTAGCCAAAACCCTCTCCTTCACCTTTCTCATCAATGGATCCATTCCGTGGGTGAGATGGACCCCATGAACCATGATTCATATGAAGGGATATCGTAAGTACTTGATCTGTCCCATAGAATCCCTCTGCTGTTCCATTGCCATAATGAACATCAGTGTCAATAACTACAACCTTTTTACACCCTGAATCTAAGGCCAATTGAACAGCAAGACCAGCATTGTTAAGGAAGCAATACCCATCTGCTTGTTTAGGTTGAGCATGGTGACCAGGCGGCCTAACCAATGCATAAGCAAGTTTTCCATGCCCATCAAGGATATGCTTCATCGCTGATAGTGTAGTGCCAGCAGCAAGAAGTGCAGCATCCCATGAGCCAGGATTTAAGAAAGTTCCGGCACAAATCATCTTCCCCCTTGTTTATCTGCTTCAACTAGTTCATCTATGTACTCTGAGAAATTAACATAAATGAACAAAATCAGAGACAATGAAACAACCCAACATTCTCCACTACAAATTAGTGAACTACCCAATCATCCTACAGGGAGAAAAAAAAAAAAAAACCGTCTTTTCTTTCTACCAATAAATCCTATAAAACAAATCTATACAACTCTGACTGGGTTCAAGCTAGCAACTTTCCTACACTTTCCGATGGATTCAATATTCATTCAACTAAGGAAATGCTGATCTGAGCAGTGAGAATGAAAGAGTTACCTGGGGTATGAAAAGAGAGCAATTCAGGGACTTGAGCAGGTCTGCCTAGATGCCAAGAAATGTATGGAGAGATGGGGCCTTTCTTAAGTATAGAAACCATGTTGATGATCCTGTCTGAGTTCTCTGGGTGCTTATCTAACACGTCAAGGAACCCAGGATCAGTTCCTGAGTCAAAAACTCCCATTCCAGTTTCATGGTTTAGCATGCCCTCGTGCCAGAACACGTCTATGATCTTGGTTGAGCCCGCAGCAGCAGCAGCAGCCATGGCAGGATGCAATTCTTTGAGGATTTCAAAGCGAGATTGTGAGAGTGGTCAGGGGAAGAGTCAAAACAGTATCCAATGCTTAGAATGGAGGATAATTACTCCCTCTGTTTCGTATATTTATCTAAAAAAACTGTCTTAATTTATATTCAGGGTTAATACACTGTAATTATATAAAGAATCAGATTTTCAATCTGTACTATATATATAAAAAAAAAATTGAGTTTCTAATCTATCGTTTTAATTTTAATTTGATAAAATTTTTAATCAAATTAAATATGTAACTTACACATAGTATATAGTTTGATAAAATTATTTTTGTTATTTGATATAAGTATTCTATATCTACTAATATAAATATTAATTTTTAAAAATTGATAAAAAAATTTTAACTAAAATAATAGATTAGAAAATATCTCAAAATATAAAAGTAAATATTTTTTTTTAATAAAAACAGATTGGAAATCTAACTCATTATATAAGGACATATCATGGTATTACCTTTATTATTTATCTTATCAGAATTTTAGATAATGTAATTTTTTAAATGCATCTTGATAAAAAAAAATCAATTTTCTTTTTCTAATCTTAACTATAAAAAAATATATATTTTTTATAATTTTCTGATCTTAACTATAAAAAAACATATATACGGTATGCATATATATGCATGTATATATAATACATATATATTTGTTTAATTTCTTAACTTTTATAAATTTTAAAATAAAATTACACTCTATTCACTGCAATATGGTCCACTTGACTAGAAAAATATCGAGCCTGATTTCAAAATTAAATGAATTAAAATATAATATCTACTTGAGACAGCTGAGATAATGAATTTCTTTCCTTTTTTTTTTCCCAAGGATATTTTCAGTTACACAAATACATTTTTTCTTTGTATGAAAACAAAATTGATAGATTCATTTAACTTGGGCTAATTGAAAGGTATTAAATCCAAATGAGTAACGTTAAAGATTAACAAAATATGATAAAAAAAAATTCCAAAAATATTATATTCACAGACAAGGTTATGAAAATCGAGATTTTAAATCAGATTATAAAAAAAAATCAAATACAAAATATAAATACACGTAGAAAATCAGAAACTACAAAGTGGCTTGAAAAGGAGTAGTAAAAGAGAACAAAACAACTCAATAAGTACAAATTAAATTAAGAATACAGTTTGAATTACAAAATAATAACTTATGCATGCATGCTAAATTTGCTAAGCTTCCATCCTAAACCCGTACAGGCATGCAACCATCCATGCATGCTATGAATGTATAGCACACTATCTCAATTTATTCACTATATATATATATATATATATATATATATATATATATATATATTATTATTTTTCTCGTTTTATGTGAAAAACATAAGCCAAAGGTCAGAATAACTTAATTAGTGGATTTTAATTGTCAAAGGAAAAAAGTTCCCAATCCCTTCACTATATATAAATTAAATATAAAATGCATCCAAAGCAATACCAAAATCGTTTCCCTACAGAAGGATAAAAATATTAATAATTCCAAAAAAAATTATTATGCTTTTAAAAAAATCAAAATACACATTATGGTTTTAATAAAACAATAAATATTTAGTACAAAAAAATGTCAAATGTCTTTCAATAGCCACATCACAATTGGAATTGTCCAGTGTTTGCCGTAGAAAACACTAAAACTCACTACATTAGGACACTTTTTATCATATGAAAGATTTCTATATGCTATCGTTAAGTTTCTCTAAACTTTATTTGATATTTTATATTGGAATAAAAATCTCCTCTGTACTTTTATCTTTCAATCCCTTACGATTATTATAAACTAATAATATTAACTCATTCTACAATTAATGATTAATTTTTTAAAACATAAAGGGTCATCAAAAATATTTTTTAATAAAAAATAATAATTTTATTGATGCTATAAATCAAACAAATATATCATTATCTTTGTCGCACAATGATACCAGAAAAACTAAGAAGGTAGCTGCAATAAAAAATTAGACCAAATCTTTTTACAACAATGGTGAATAATGATCTTTCATACAACAAATAGTCTCTTTCTAGAAGTTAAAAAAAGCTCGTTAAAAATTCCCATGATGACTTTTGAAGATGAGACTCTTTTTGCATATCAAGTAAATAGTTGAGATTACCGGTGTCATTACTCGACGTCGGACGAGACTTTCAAAAATTAGATGCTAATGTGATCGTGATTAATATTTACAAGTTTATTTACGGAGCTTTGGAGTCGCCACCTAGTATTAAGGAACTAGGAACCTAAAAATAACACTCGGTCTAGAGATTCTATGGTAAGCGAGTTGGTTACATTTTTAGGAAGATAATTATTCACCTCAAAAGTGCCCTTTCCGAAGAAAGGTACCACATATTGTTCTAGTCCTAAATTTATCTCCTACATTGTTCATTTATGCCAATTTGTTTTCTAATTTTTAAACAATTATTTTAGCAAAATTTGATTTTTAGTTTTGAGCGTGGCATCGTATTGAAGCGATCGTCGATCCCCTTCATCGGGCGACACGTCGGTTCAAACATCGGATCCACTTAAAGCCTTGACACAACCGGTGCATCGGAGGACACTCGATTATTAAATTATGATTTTTGGTGACGAAGATCACTATCGGATAGGAGACCTCGCCACGAAACGACAAGTCCCTACTAAGAGGAGACTTCGCCGAGAAAATTTATTATTATTTTATATTTTTTCTTTAATAAGATGCATGCATAAATGTCAAAAATAAAATAAATAAATAAATATTAAATTAAATACAAACAGACAAAATAAAAAAAAATAATAATTGAATCCCCTGAACATCTAAATTAAATACAAGATACATAAAATTTAAATTTTTAAATCAAATATTTTTTCCTTTTTTATTGCATTCTATTCACGGTTGGAGACTGGATTACATCCATCTCCTTATTTCTTACGAAAAATGGGTGAACGCAAAGCCTGGATTAAACTAATCTGTGCATCTTCTTTTTCAATTTTTATTCCTGGACTAGTGGCCCAACCTCCCTTTAAAACCAGCCCCCATTTCTTTCTTTTCTTATTTTTCCACGGGCCGGACCCACCATAAACACCACTTAACAAAGGTTTCTTTATATTTTTTATCAAAACATTTCCTTCTGATAAATTCCAAAACTTGCTCTCTCCTGTTTTGGTCCTCTCACGCCATTTCTTTCTTTTCTTTGTCTTTTCCCTATCTTGTCTCTCTCTCTCCCTCACCATATACCAGGATCTCTTCATTTGTTTTTTTAAAAATCAAGTCCGCTTCTGCTCAGCCCTCCTCTCTTTCTCTTGTTCATCCTCGCCTTTCATATTATTTTTCTTTGGGTGTAATCCTAATTTTCTCTCTCCCTCACCATATACCATGAGCGAACCAACATCCCTTTTAATTCATTTCATTTCTTCTATGTTATTCCTTTTTCTTTCACCTTCTCTCAACTTTGCAAGAACCAAGTTTACATTTTTTTTTAAATCAAAAGCCCATTGACTAAGCTACTTCGTTTCCCCATTTCAACAAACTAAGACCTAAATTAAAAATTTAAATTAAAGAAAGAACGAAATGAGAATAAACTACCTAGATGAAACTCGACTCGAGATTTTGAAACCGTGGTTGTTGATATGCGAATCAAATAAATGATGATGGGTTTCGGAGTGATCCCTGGATGATCTTAACCGAGAACAATGAAGTGATTTTTGGTATTGATGTTCTCGACTTTTCTTTTGTTTACGGAGTTGACGGAAGAGAAGGAAACTAGATTCGGCTTTAATGATCCCGGAATTAATTGTTATGGATATGGAATGATCAAAGGCTTATGGTGTACGAGGATTTGAAAAGATTGGAATGGACCGTGTTTGATATCTAGAACCGAAGAACAAGAAAGCCGAAACCCAAACAAACCCGAAATGCGAAGCTAAAAAATCCAATTTTTGTGAATTCCCAACCCTTTTTCTTTGTTTTTCCCCTCTCAAACAACCTAGAAACCTTCCTTTTCTGCCGAGAATTCTCCCCCTCTTTTTTTTCGGGATACCGCCCTTTTATAGACATTGAGAATTTGAGTTTCACCTTCAATCAAACACTTTCAAATTCAAGTTTCATCCTAAATCAAATACCTAAAAATTCAGATTTTTTAGTTATTCAATTTGAACTCAAATTCTGTTATTGAAAAGTGATTCAACCAAGCTAAACTCGAATTTTAAAAATTGGGATAGACTTCAATCTGTTTTTTTTTTTAATTTATTTTTTGGTTTTTTGTATTTTTTGTATTTTTTTTAAATAATAATAATATAATAAAAAAAATGGAAGTGCTTTTTTTTTTTTTTTGTTATTACGGTTGCCCCTCTTTATAATGCTTATGGTGCAAAGTCAAATAAAAAAGATGTTTTGCAATGACTTTGTTTAATAAGCTTGTAAAGATTTTTTTTTTTTTTGGTTTTTTTAAAATCAAGAGTAAAATGGTAATGGGATAGCCAAATTGAAGGGCGACCTACCCCGAAACTTAAATATGCAATGCATGGTCAAATTAAAGGGCGACTGCACCTAAAAATTAAATATGCGATGCATGGCCAAATTGAAGGGCGGCACTGCCCTAAAATTAAACATGCAATGTGGGGCCAAATTGAAGGGCGGCTGCCTTGAAAATTAAAACATGTAATGTGGGACCAAATTGAAGGGCGGCACTCGAAAATCGAAACATGTAATACATGGCCAAATTGGAGCGGCGCGCCGAAAATTAAATATGCAAGCGGCCAAATTGAAGCGCACTACGAAAATTAAAACATACGAGTACACGGCCAAATTGGAAGGCGACTTGCCTCGAAAATTAAATATGCGATACATGGCCAAATTGAAGGGCGGCACACTCCGAAAATTAAACATGCAACGTGGGGCCAAATTGAAGGGCGGCATGCCTTGAAAATTAAATATGCAATACATGGCCAAATTGGAGGGCGGCACGCCACGAAAAT